CCCCAAAACCCCAAAACCCCAAAACCCCTGAAAGAACAACTGGAGTTGGGTCATTTAATAAAATTAAAATTACGAATGGAATCAAGCTTAAAGATGAATAGCCTGATAACCAAATTTAGCCACTGTTCAACCATCCTCCAGTTCTACGGCACCTTCGCTATCTGTGAGAAGTTACTCATGAGATTATCCAGTAAGAAAAGGCAGATGTGGATTGATAACAGAGAAGCGTTTCTCAACTGCATCGGCTTGAAAGGTGTTCCCAAAGATACCATGGATTTCTGACAAGAGTTTAATTACGAAATTGAGAAGTTTATGCTTGATAATAATAGATTTATCAACTATGATTTCATCATCCGGCTGAGCAACAGTGAGACTCTTTTCCAGCTCATCAGCTTCTTAGAGAATAAAAACTATAGGCAGTTTGGGATAGAGTCTAACAAAATCCCGAAGAATTACGCCCAGTTCCTTCGATTCAAGAAAGTTGAAATTTTAGAGGAGTCTTTTAGTGTTGAATTTGTGAACCAAGTTTATGAAGCTCTCAAGAAATTCAATGTGAATACTAAGTGTCTTCGCTACGAAATGCCTTTTAATTTTAGCCCAGCGAAATCAGCTGAGAAGCTCGAATACGTAGCTCAAATTACAGGTCTGTATTTGGCTAATGACTTTAAAAGAATTGGAGTCTTAGAGACAAGAGAAGAGGTAAATCATAACACAAATAGGCTGTTCTGGTTGTAATTTTCTTGTTAGAGTTACTCATTGCTTAATAATCATACTTTTATAGCCTTCAAAAGAGGAGAGGAAGGATGATGAGGAGGACAAGAAAGATGACGTTAAGCTGGATAAGATTACAACCCAAGTGAGAGAGTTAAGATGCAGAACCAATTTGATATTTGGTTTATACAGTTACTTAAATCAACTCTCTGAAGAAGTTTATATTCATCCAAGGTTTAGCAAAAATCTGCGAACTCTTACCTTCATTGACATAGACGTAAAAGCAATTACTTCAGAATTTGAAGAGGAAGAGAAAGATAATAAAAACCATGATGTAATGGAACTGGCAACAAATGTGCAAAAACTGCGAACTATTTTTCCAAGGCTTCAGAATATCAACTACGAATGTGTGTGAATAAAGTTTGAAATCCATATGTTCCGTTATCTTGATATAGTTGCTCAAGATGGCACACATAGTGTTCAAACTAATACCTCTCAAAATGAGCTAAAAGACTTGAGTAAAGAAGCTGATCTTATACTTGGAGATTCTTACGTGTACCTTTACTCAAAGTAAGTTACAAAATTGTCATAAATCACTTTTACCTATAGAATGATTGATTTAAATAATTCTTAAAATGTCCCAAGGATTCTAAGTGTTTATACATATCTAGCTTGTTGCCTGACGAAAGTATATTAATTTCATAATCCATATGCATTTATCTTCTAATATCCTGAATGAATTTAAAAGAAATTAAAATGTACCAAAACTTCAAGTTTGAGCATCTTATTTATCTCAAAATTTAGGGAAGATGACTCAAAGTTTATATCATTCAGATGTGATCAAATCATATGCATGGACACCTTCTTCAAAAAAACCCATAATTTAGAGGAAGGGATTTATTACCTTCAGAATGAGTCAGCCATGGAGGTCAATTTTGTTGAGATTACAGAACGAGACTACAGAAATTACAACTATTTCCAAGAATTAGTACTGATGCCATTGAACAAATTTATGGGTGATAAGAAGAAAGTACATTCCTGGACCAAGAAGTCTCACCCTGCATGAGATATGACGATGATGATTGTGACTAAAACATTGAGGAAAATCAAAGGTATGTCTCTAATCTCCCAGTTGATGCCTACTCAGTGAGAAATCTTTGAATTCGATGACAGCCAGATTAAGTATGGTGACAAATTATTCGAGCATATACCCTTTATGCCGGTTACTGAGAAGTTATTGATGAGAGGGAAATGGAAGAATAACAACTATTATTTCCTGATGGAGATCCTTAATTGCCAAATTACCCATTTGTACTTGGATTTTGTCATTGTTGAGATTAGAAATGCAAAGCTGAGGAAGAAAAACAAATTAATTTCGAAATTTATGAAGTCTAATTCATTAAAGAATTTATCTTTATGGCAATATTCGCTTGACAAAGAACTGCTAAACAAAATTACTGTGGATAGTATCCAATCCAACAAACAGCGACTGAAGTTGGTACTGGAAACACTGCTGTTTTCACCAATTCCTAAATTTCCTGAAGCGAGTCTTGAAAGTGATGTTGTTTTGAGCTAAACGTACCGGTTTACAACTTTCTAGAATACATTTCAACAAAAATATTTCTAAAAGGGGTTTTGGGGTTTTGGGGTTTTGGGG